AAAAACCAAGTTAAGGGGCCGGCCCCATGGCATAGGAGTTAAGTGTGCGCGCTGCACTGCTGGCGGACCACCTTGGGATCCCAGGCGCTCACGGACGCGCCATTTGTCAAGCCATGCTGTGGTGGCGTCCCATATAAAGCAGAGGAAGATGGGCACAAATGTTAGCCCACGGCCAATCTTCCTCAGCAAAAAGAGGAGGAATGGCATGGATGTTAGCTCAGGGCTGATCTTCCTCACAAAAAAAAAACAAAAAACAAGTTAAAAGATGTTGTTGGGTATTTTTGACTTAAAATGATAACAACACATCTCAGCAGCATGTGTTAGAACTAGTTCACAATACAAAAAGATTTGCACTTTTTCAACTAATTTAGTAGTGTTGACATTAGAGAATGTTTAGGTTGGAAGGGAAACCTCATTTCCTCCAGACCCTCATTTGACCACATGAAGAGGGAGGGGTCCCTGATGATAAACACAACTTTGCTTAGATTGACCCGGAAGGTTACACTCTGAGCTGGGGCAAAGACCCCAGTCTTTTGGCCACAGCTCTTCTATCATAAGGCCCTGGGGCCTTCTTCAGTATAATCAAATCAAATTCCAAGTATAATGCAATTGTAGAGAGAAAATCCTTTCTACATCTTCTGCATTTTGTACCGTGTATACTTAAGTTAAGAAAAAACTGTTTTTATCAATTAATTACAATAAAAAGAAAGAAAATCTTAAGCACCTCACCGGCAGACCAGAGGTCTTTCGGGGAAAGGGTATGTCCAAGGAGGAGGGCTGTAGTGGAGGTGGTATCAAGACCCAGGAAGAGGGCGACAGGAGGCCCTCAGCTGCCCCCAGGCTGTGCCGTGTAGCATCAAGTGCCCAGGCTTTGAAATCACGCTGGAGTTCAAATCCCTGCTAGCCACTACCTGTTATGCACTATTATTACTGGATCTCAGTTGCCTCATCTATTAAACGTGGCAGCAACCAGGACTGTTCTATGGATTCCAGGCCAAAGTGCTTGGCATAAAGCGGGTGCGCCACACAGAGTAAGTTACTGAGACCGCTGGAGAGACCATCAAGGGGCATGCCCAGGCCAAAGAGAGCGTAACGGCAGGGACAGGTGACCGCAAGCGGCTAGACCCTACAAGTTCCTCCCTCCGAGACCCCGAGACACAGCCCCTCTGCTTTCTTCCTTTGATCTCGGCGAGGCGCGCTCCGGGCTCTCTGCGGCGCCGCTGATTCAGGGGAAAGGGGAATGGCGCGACCACAGGGAAATGATACATTTCCTCCTCCTTGCCGGGAGGCCCGAAAACCGACGAGTCTAAGTTAGCTGCTGCAACGCCAGCAGCACCAGCCCCAGGGTCAGGAGCGGCGGACCGAGACTTTGCCCCGGAGCGGCCTCTCCGGGATTGACCTCTAGCCCGGAGCCGGCACAAAGTGCTGAGTCACCGGGAGGCGGGCCCCGCGCAGTCACGTGGCGGGGGCTGTATCACAACAACGGCGCGGCGTGCAGCGCCCGCGGCCCGCGCCGCTTCCTCCCGCGACAGGCCCGCTCTCCGAGCATGCGCAGCTCGGCCGCGCGGCTGCGCGCATTCCCAGCCGCGCGGCTCCACGGGCCGGGTTTTCCGGGCGGCCGTGGGGCGGGGCTTGGGGCGGTTCCGGGCACTGGTAGGCGAGGACGCGGTGCCTGGACCGCCACTGGCCGGGGTGGGTTCCGGCCCAGGTAGTCCTCGTTTTTTCCGCGGGAGAAATGAGCAGGCATCGCTCTTGGGCAAGCCTTGGGGAAGAGCTCATTCTGCAAGAGATGGGCGCCTTCTTTTCACTTGAGCGATCGTGAAAGCCCTAAACGATCTGTCCGGCGCTGTCCGCAGAAAACTCACCCGCTGAAGTCGAAACCCAGCCCCGGATGCAATCCACAAGTGAAATCGAGGAGAAGTAAACCTAAAAATGCAAAGCCAAATTGAGGGGATTGACTGTTGTCGAATATGACTTGTGTTGATCTGGTGGATTTTTATCCCCTTTGTAACAGCAATTGGTAAAGGCGCTGTGGAGGTCCTGGTTTGGATTTGACATAACTGCCAGGTGGTGTCACCACCCTGCACCCGATTTGGGATTGTCCAGAGCCCAGGGGCTCTCTCTCGGGGTGCTGGTTCAGAATTCGGGGGTAGGTGGGAAAGGCCCCCTTCTGTGTCAACTGTAATTTGGGGCTGAGTGATTCAAATTATAGTGTTAACTCTCATTACATTCAGTTTCACGTAGAGCTTTGCTAGACTAGAACTTAGTCTCTTACTGAACCTCGCCTGTCTCCGTTTCCTCGTTAAAACGAAACTGACACTCTCCCTAGAGATCAGCTTCACCGTACTGTGAGGAAATGCAGCAGGTGTAGGGGGAAAGTGTGTGCTTAGCAAAGGGTAAATTTCTACACCTGCGCTGTTTCAACTAACCGGAATGCGAGCTACATATGTAATCTTAAATTTTCCATTAGCCACCTTTAAAAACTAAAAAGAGGTGAATTAAAGTAATATACTGTACCTTAACATATTCAAAATACTATTACAGCAACAGGTAATCAATATAAAATTATTAATGAGATATTTACATTCTTATTTTTGGTACTAAGTATTTGAATCTGGAGTGTGCATTACATTCACAGCTCATCTCCCAAACCACTACATTTTCATTGGAAATACTTGATCTGTATTTAGGTTTCATAAATTTAACAGATGAAAAAGTGGGTTCGCATTCCCAACCTGTTCCAAATGTACTCAAAAGTTTTCCAGAAACTGAATGGAATGTCAATTTTGAAATTTATATTTAAGTGGATTAAAACTAAAATCAGTTTCTCCGTCAAATTAGCCGTGTTTCAAATGCTCAGTAGCCACGTGTGGCTGATGGCTTTTGTGTTGAACAATGCAGGTCCATGCAAATGTAAGGTGAGATCATGAGAATAACAAAACGGTCCTTGGGATGCCTCACCTGCATGGGAAACAATGACCAACACTGTCCCCACCCCCCACTCATTGCTTGCCTTCCTTTGGAAGCTAACATTCATACAAAGCACTTTTCTAGAATTAAAGATACATCCAAAAAGCATAAATCATCTCCATCCCAAAGGAAGTCCCTATCTAGTGTGGACATATTTTTTAAATGATTCTATCACAGTGTAGAAAGAGAGGCATGCACAAAAGCAACCAAAATACAGAGGGGAGTCACTGGGACTCCAAGGATGAACAGGAATGTGTCAGGTGAAGAATTCCAAGCAGAAGAAACAGCAGAAAGCCAGAATCGCACCGATCTGGTGAGGTTGGTAGGGAGGGTACAAGGGAGCATGGGGGCAGTAGCTGAGGTTGAGTCTGCGGTGGACAAATAAGAATGAGGCTCGGTTTTTATCCTGGCTGTGTGCTGGGGATTGAAACGTCATCTTCTGAGCTTCAAAGCCCCCCATACATACACACACTCCACTGTGGAAATTACAGCCAGACCTTGGGTATCCATGTCCCCCAGCCCTGAGACTGGCACATCCAATATGAAGGGCAGTGGGAGAGGAGACTCCTACTACCATATATCCATTCAGCAGTTAACAAGTGCTTACTAAATGTTAACTTTGTAGTGTGACGGGAACGGACACAGTAAGTACACACTTTCTGGCCTCAGTACATGTGGGAACTAGTTGCTGTTATCTTCCCCTGACCTGTCAGGTCATTGCTCTGTCAACATATATTTATTGAACAATTATTTGAGGGTCAGGTAGCTGGTTCCTTCCCTTCCTCGCCAGGATAGGGCCAACCCCATTTGTTTCTAATAACCTCTACCCCCATGGCAAGCTCACACGAACACCATTTTAATCACTTAATGGATGAATCTTAGGTTTGGATGGAGGATATGCTTTCGGAGATGATTCCTTCAAATGATCCATCTGGAGATGTTGACAAAGCCCCTTTTGTTGCAATGAATAGTGTCTGTGCCATCCAAAGAACATATGTCATCAAATAGTTAATTTAGAGAATATATAAACTCTTGCAATATATACACATGTCTAAAAACTTGTAGACAAATTGATTCTTCTTAATTATTTATTGACCATCAATTCTATGCACATCTGCATTATGCACATTCTTACAACACCCATACAATATAATATTAAAAATAGTAATATAATTTTATACAGGTATGAAAATAACTTGCCCGAGGTCTCACGTCAGTAAGTGGTGGAGACTAGAATTGAACATATGTTTCATCGGACTCGCAAGTTAATATTTTTTCTCGCCATACCCTGCTGCCTTCACCCTTTTGTAAGTGTGAGGCCCTTCTCACCTAAAAAATAATCTAGTGGGTTCTTCATTAATTCAAATAATCAACTGTCTTCCCCAACCCAGAGTTCATCTCCTTGGATGAGAGAAAATGGATTTTTACATACTGCGTTTGCTTAAAGCGAAGCCCACTTCCCTGGGCCCCCACCCTCCCCCCGGTGAGCGCCTCCCCTTCGACTCCGCCCCAACCACGCCTGCGCGCGCCTCCTCCACCGCCCCTCTGCGTCTCCCGCGGCGCTCAGCCCTGCCTCCTCCCCCGCACCGCCTCCTGTCCCCGCCCCCGCCCGTAGTCTATAAAACCCGGAGCGACGGATCGGGCCCGGGAGCGGCGAGCGAGCGGGGAGGAGGACTGGGCATGCTCGGCGGCGGCGCTGCTTTTGGTCACAAGTAGGAAGCCGCCAGTGCACGACACCGGCAAAGAGAAGCGGGAGCCGCTGCCGCAGCGCGGCTGTGGGGTCCGTCGCCGCCGCCTCGGAGCAGGAGCGGGGCGGGCGAGGGCCGAGAGCCGCCCAGCCCGCCCTCCCGCCCTCTGCCTCTGTGTCCGCGCGCTGCGCCGGACCCC